TCTCTCCACTCTTTATAACACAACTCAAGTTCTTGAGCACCGGTTTGTCTGATCCCTCGTAACACAAACTCATACCCTTGAGCTCTATCTCTCCCTTCTGTGGCCAATCGGGAGGGGGTTTATGGCTATCATCGGAGTTGAGGGCCGCCTCTTGTGGTAGTCTTGAGTACTCAATGATGCGCTCGACTGAAGTCATCTGACTCTCCATATCAACCGACATCCGCGTTCCCCATGACGTCCCTCTCGTCAGGATTAGAGCTAATTATTTAATATATTAATTTTGTGTCAAAGATTTAGTGGATTTGTTTTGGACTTATTTAATTATTTAAATACATATTATATTTTCTAATATTATTAGATAATTGATGGTGCTATTTTTCAGTTATTTTTTAACGCTAAAATCTGTTTAAAAGTTGCATGCTATTTAAATACATTGGCGAATTTTAAATGATTGTCTTTAAAAGCAACAACTCGATGGCATTAGAAAGATGTAAAACTAACCTGATGCTAAAGCGAGTCCTGCATCTCCCGCTCCTAACTGTTCGGGAAATGCCATAAACACCACAACTATTATTACTGTATACACAAAACACAGTCCATCTATTATTAAAGCAAATGCGTAACTAGAATTGGTGACGAGCATCCAGGTGGCCGAGTGATCATCTTGGTAGACGTAGAATTGTTTCTCAAACACCTCCTGCGCCCCAAAGGCCCTAACACTGGCCAACCCATTGAATGTAGTGCTCACGTGTGAAAACACTGGACTCCGAGCTATAAAATTTTTAAAATATTATTTCTTTTATTTATTCAATTATTTTTTAGTAAAACCTACTCAAACATTCCGCTCGTTTAATATCCCTAGCTGACTTGATGTAAATAGCCCTTGATACTATAAGCACTACAATTAGAAAAATTGCTGGTATGATCAAATATGGGTTGACGATTGTAATTAGTATCATAGCACCGATGTTCGCAGTCAAATGCTAGATAATTATGATAGATATACAGAGATAATCAATTTAGAGAACATTTATACTCATATATTAGTTAAAATAGTTATATATTTGTTAGATACCATGTTAAACTCAAACGCTGTACTTGGTAGTTCCTCATCGATTGTACAAACATCTTTTGAAAAGCGATTTAATATCCGACCTGTAAATATATTTAACATTATTTATTGATTTAATTAATGAATAAAATAACTAACCAACTGGGTTATTTTCAAAAACAGATATCGGGGCCCGTAATAGACGGTAGAATATAGTGTTGTGGAGATTAACTGAAGCCCTCATAAACATCACAAACCATGTGATGGCTCTCAATAGGGATGCGATGAACAGCGCGGCCATCATTG